CCACTGCACTCCAGTCTGGGCAACAGAGTGAGACTCCAACTCAAAAAAAAAAAAAATGGAAACATTTATGAAAACAGAGAGATAGAGTATAATGAGCCCCCTTGTATCCATCACCTGGCATCAACAGTTATCACCATGCTGCTATTGTTTTTCTGAAGCCAGATTTCTAGTGCTTGACCCTTTTTCTGCCTTTCCTAGGTCTCAGCTTATTGCCACTAATGGCATGTCTAAGCTTTGAGAAAATGGATTACTCCTTTTTATAACTACTCAGACATTCCCTAGATACTCACTGGGTAGGAAAATGATACTTCTGCTTGATTTGGATCTGAAGGTTTTTCACATTTGTAATCTGTTGATACCCCAGATCCATTGTTAATCCTAGTTAATATCCATTGCTCTCTGGGAATCAGTGTTTGAGTCAAATTGGCCTATTTTAGTGAGGTAGAAATGTAATGTGGTTGTTACAGTGATTGTGGCCTTTACTATCTAGGAAAGAGTTTTGTTAAAATTAAGACCCAAATATTAAACAAGTTATTGTGTATGACCCCTTGAAAATTGTGAAGGATTTTTTTTTTCCTGCTAGACATAATTACTTACTTTTGGAATGAACATTTTCTCCTTAAAAGTATCTATAGAGCTTAGCTTTTAGAAACTTATGCCAGGAAAATTAATAGGACCAGGCTGTATTTTCAGCATATCAAAGGTCTTTTGGCTTTATTCCCATTATTTCCAGTAAACATCATAAATTCAGTTCTGACATTTAGAAAGTACCCTTTTGGCCTTTCTCATAGATAATGAAATCAAGTTTCTGTCTCATTAACTGTACCACATCATAGGACAGTGATTGGGATGGTCTGATTCTGAATGTAGACTTAATGGTGAATGGGGGGGTGGGGAGAAGGCACCTGGAAAAGACAAGCCTTCTCCCAAGCAACTGGAGCTGAGGTCCTGCAGGAGGTGGTTGTGACTGTGCAGGGAGGGGCTTACCAAGGAAATCGTGATTTCAGATTAGCAGTACAAAGCTCTAGAAGCAAACATTGTAAATAATAAGCAAGTATTGACTTGGTCAGCTTCATAAATATGTACTTTTAAAATTGGGTAGTTTGTCTTTTTTCTAAGTTTTTAGAAGCTCTTTGTGTGTAGAGGAAATTGAAAGTTGACCTGTTGTCTATCATGAATTCCATTTTTTTTCAGTTTAATTTTCCTGTCTAGGGCTTTTGTTTTATTTTCTCCTTTTAGGATATTGTATTCCCACATGAAAGTGTACAGTAAAATTGATCAATTTTTTTCCTTTACAGCTTCTTGGTTTTATATCCTATTAAGGAAGGCTTCTTCTCTTCTCGGAGAGACATGTGCTATTAAAAAAAAAAAAAGCCTTCTCTGACTCCAAAATTATAAAATTAGACATCCATTCTGTCTTCAAGTACTCTGTAGTTTTATGTTGTAATTTTAAAAATAATAAATTTGAATAAGGAGTATAGCAAGGGTGTAACATTACCCTTTTCACAACTTCATTTATTGAATAGTTCATGTTTCCTTCCACTTCTCCTGGATACTGCCTTTATCATAAATTAGTGTCCCATGGGTGCATGAACTCACCTCCCTGCTAAGACTTTCCCATGTGGTTTCCTAAACTTGGGTGGTAAATCCCTTCTGGTCTCCACTCGGTCTCTGTTCTCGTTGGTAACCCCACTGCCCTTTTCTCCACTAGTCCCGTGCTGTGTACTAGCCGGGGCTACAGAGGCCAGTGAGAATGTCAGACATTTGGAATGCCTGAGTGGGAACCTCAGGGGTCTCACTATAACAGGCGCCAGAACTGTCACATGCATAGCTTTGATTATTTGAATTGTAATATTTTCTTTCCATTAGGGTTATTTGACAAACTACTTCCTTTTCTGGTTCAAGCACGGCTTCAATTAAAGTGTTTATTCTAATTCTAAGAAGTCTTAAACAAAAATTGTTTTGCAACTGCTTTTTGTTATTATTGAGTTTTCTATTTAAAAATAAAGAGAAAGCCGGGCTTGGTGGCTCAGCCTGTAATCCCGCGCCTTTGGGAGGCTGAGGCGAGTGGATTGCCTGAGCCCGCGGGTTCGAGACCCGCCTGGGCAGCGAGACCTCATCTCTACAATAAATCAAAAAATCAGCCGGGCATAGTAGCTCATGCCTGTAATTCCGGCTACTTGGAAGGCTGAGGTGGAAGGATCGCCAGAGCCCAGCAGGTCGAGGCTGCGGTGGCCGGGAGCGGCCACTGCACTCCAGTCTGGGCGATGGAGTGAGACTCTAACTCAAAAAAAAAAATAAATAAATAAATAGAATGGCTGGGCACAGTGGCTCTCGCCAGTAATCCCAGCACTTTGGGAGGAGGTGGTGAGAGGATTGCCAGAGTTCCGAGGTTTGAGACCAACCTGAGCAACTTGGAGAGACCTCGTCTCAACAATAAACCGAAAAAATGAGCCGAGTATGGTGTGCCTGTGGTTCCAGCTACTTGGAAGACTGAGGCAGAAGGATCGCCTGAGCCCTGCAGGTTGGGATTGTGGTGACTGTCAGCATGTTCCTGCACTCCAGCCTGAGTGACAGAATGAGACTCCTACTCATAAATAAATAAATAAGGAAAGAAAGAGTATGATCTGGAGTTAGAGCCTAGATTTGAATTCCTGCTTAGCCACTTACTAGCTTTGTGGCTTTGGACAACTTACCGCAAATCATTTCTACCATATAGGGTTATTGTGCGTATTAAATTGATGAATACATGCAGTGTCTTGAGTAAGTATTTGGCATGTATCGAGTACTCAATAAATGTTGTTACTGCGATAGCACATCACAGGAACTATGAAGAAGATCGAATACTTAAATGCTGATTTGTATATTGTCTGTTTGTTTGAAAGGGGACAATCCATCTCTTTCGAAAGCCACAAAGATCCTTTTTTGGCAAGTTATTACAGGAATTTAGACTTGTAGCAGCTGACCGGAGGGTAAGTTATTCCTTAACTCCAATTTTAATTATTTCACAAATAGTATTATAACATTTAAAAATGGTAATTGTTGAGGCAAATAGAAATCGCTGTTGAATCTTCCATACTGTTTCCATTTTGCATGTTGGGTAAATTTTTTATTTTGAGTTGGAGTCTCACTCTGTCACCCAGACTGGAGTGCAGTGGCCACTCCTGGCCACTGCAGCCTCAACCTGCTGGGCTCTGGCGATCCTTGTGCTTCAGCCTTCCAAGTAGCTGGAACTACAGGCGCGCGCTACCACACCCGGCTAATTTTTGATTTATTGTAGCGATGAGGTCTTGCCAAGTTGCCCAGGTGGGTCTCAAAGCAATCCATTCACCTCAGCCTCCCAAAGCACGGGATTACAGGCTGAGCCACCGAGCCCGGCTGGTAAA